TCGGGAGCTCCGGCCAGGGCTGGATGTGAGGGGGTCATTGCCTCGCTGCCGCGGGGCAGGACTAGATGCCGTGGAGAAGGACTCTGAAGATTCCTGCAAGAGAAGCAACATCTGTCAAACACCTAGGAGGAGGTGGGCTGATTTCACTTCCTTTCGGCCAGGCGACCTTCCTTGCCTGTGGCGACTGGGTTCCCAAAAGCCCCAAACCTCTCCAGTTTCCAAGCCTGCTGCTCCCTCCCAGGCAATGGCCCTCAGCTTTGCGACACTGGTGTTATTTCCTCGCAGTCCGATCTCCCACAGGTCCTTGAGTCTTGTTCATGAAAAATTACTGAGGCCAGGTGCTTTTTCAACCTATGCACCGTCCATCCCTTCCCCCTTAGGCGGGCGGACATTCAACCACCTAAGGAATTATCATGTGCCAGGTAAAGCGAGCGCCACCAGGTCGTCTGGACTCCACAGGCTGGTGGTGGGACTTGGCGGTAAAAAAGCCCAAGGGACAAAGAAAATCACAGGAAGAGGTGGGCAAGACAGGGGACTTGGCCAGGAGAGCTGACGAGCCCAGGCCTGAGCCAGACGGAGGGGTCGCGCCGGCCCGCTGGAGGGATTAGGTCAGGTGCGTCTGGGTCCTGGGAAGCTCCCAGGCCGACAGACCCCGGCCGGCGACCCAGGTGCTCACGCCCCCGCGCCCGGTCCGGTTTGACCCCCGCCGTTCTTAGCCCGCTAGCTCACCGCCATCGCAGCGTTGCTCTCTGCTCTGCTCCCGCAACAAGCAGTTTTCGCGCGAAAAGCGACCCACGTGACCCCCGCGAGCCGGGAAGCGCCGGGAGGGACGAAACGTCATAACGCCGGCGTCCATTTGCGTCTGGCGCGCGGGGCGGGGGTGTGCGCGCATGCTCGGGGGCTGGAAGTCTGCCACGCCCTCAGGGCTATAAGCCCCGCCCACACCTCCCAACCGCCCAGTCTTCCTTCTGCCCTTCCACAGCTGAAGTGTGGGAGGTGGAGATGCTGCAACGGGCAACGAGGACCAGGCCATCGCCTCATTGCGTGACGCTAGCCAAGGCATGGCCATCTGACAGACCAGGCAACCGAGACCCAGAGCCTGGCTTTCTGAGCACTTCTTCCTGTTTTATGGGCAGTCTCAACTTCTCCAAAATCTCTAAGCACCCAAGCTCTCTGGATTTTGCAGGAAGTCAAACTGAGGTTCAAGGGCGAGTCGCCCTCAGCGAGGACGTTCTACAAAAAAGAGCTGAGGAAGGAGGGTCCCAAGTTCAGGCCCTGCCTGGCCACTTAGCAACTTAGTAAGACCCTGCCTCAAAATTAAAAAAATAAAAAGGGCTGGGGATCTAGCTGAGAGCAAAGGCCCTGGGTTCAATACTCAGTACCAAAAAACAAGCAGGCAAACAAAAATAGTGTGCAGAGCTGTAGGGAGCAGAGAACCCGGCGAGAGTGTGGGAACCATTCCACAGTTCTAGCAAAGGGCTTTCGATGCCAGGGCTGGCGACACTGTCATTGGAGAGGTTGGATCACAAGAGGTCTGGACGCATTCTGGGGAGGGCAGGACAGTCTTGAATACTCCTGCCCACCCTCCCTATGGGCTGCCCCACTGGAGGCTGCAAGGGCAGGCCGGGATGCTCGTCCAAGAGGTGGAATCCATAGGCCCTGTTGCTTGGGGACTGTAAAAGAGAGGCACCCAGGACACCAGGCTCGGGTAGGTGTACGGTGGCACCACCTCTGAGATGGGGATGCAGAAGAGTTGGGGGACAGAGGATGAGTTGGTTTCTCGCTGATCGGTGAGGCCCAGGAGGCCTTTGGATGTTCACATCTGGAACACAAGAGGGTGCGTGGGCCTAGCTGTGGATGGCTTCCAAGTGGTTGGAGCACCTCGCCCTCACACACTCCAGGTCACTTACATCACTCTGTTTACTTTTTCTTCTCTTTTTTAATTATTTTTTTGAGCCAGTGTCTCATTATGTAAGCCCAGGTTGGCCTTGAGCTTGCGGCGATCCTCTCGCCCCAGCCTCCTGAGAGCTGGCATTCATTACAGGTGTGCACCTCCATGCCTGGCCTCCCTGTGTCTGACTTCATGAAAAATCACTGTGGTTCACAACCAAGTGGGCCTAGTAGAACCCAGTCCACGAGAAGCACCTCTGGCCTCATGGTCGCTTGCTGTCCCCTAGTCACCTCTGCCAGGGTCCAGTGGCCTGGCATGCTGCTTTCTGCATGGTTCTCTGCTGCATGCGAATCACCTTAGTCCACAAACCCGGGGTGTACATTGTGGTTTTTCTACCAGGGCCTGTCGTAAATGTCACACAGAATCTTCCCCACCACACGCCCCTCTAACACGGTGGGTCTGTGTGTCCCAGCCCTTTCCTGCTTAGGCCGGACTCCAAGCTGGAAGCCTTTGTTACCCAGAGACCTTGCAAGTCACAGGAGCCTGTGCGGATGTGGAGAGTGCTGCCTCTGGATCTCAAAGTGGTCCACCAACACTGTGCTTCCTTTTGGGTGACAGAATGTGTCCTTTCCTTTGCAGAGGGTGATCTCTTATGCCCCAGACTGCTAGGCCCCTTGAGCACCCTCAATGTGTGGCAAGCCCTGTGAGCTCTATGTGGGGGTTTAGGGATGCCCCCTGGAGTGCACTTAGCTCACTGAAAGCAAAGTCTCTACTTTCCTGTCACTCCTTGTTCATCCAGCCTGACTGATAAAGTAAACCGGTGCCATGAGGCTCACACCTCTAAAACCAGCACTTGGGAGGCTCAGGAAAGAGGATCACTGTGAGTTCGAGGTCAGCCTGGGCTACACAGTGACTGTGAGGCCAGCTGAACTACCTAGCGAGACCCTGTCTCGAAAATCCAAAAATAAATAAGTAAATAATAGGGATACAGTTAAATGGAAGTCCAACTCTCAACCCCAAATGTTTTTGGTTTTTAAGGATGGTATGCATCTCTGCCATTTTCCCTGGTCTGTGATTTTTAAATTTTTAAATTTTGTGGTACTGGGGGTTAAACCCAGAGCCTCAATACATGCTAGGCAAGTGCCCTACCACTGAGCAACATCCTTAGCCTCTGCCTCTCAAATAGCCATCTGTGATACTGTTTTTTACTATCTTCGCTGGGGTGGTAATGATGTTGGTGTTTCTGGGGCTTTCACTTGACTGACCAGCATGACAGCTCTCACCCCTCTGACCAAGAAACTGGTGTGGGACTCCTACCAACTCCTGAGTGTGTCCCTTCCTGTGACACAGCCTTCCTGGCCTCATCTTTGATGGTCCTACAGAGTGAAAACCCACCTGGCCTCTAGCATTTGGGACCTCTATCCTCCCCTCTGCCACCAGGGGATGCTGACCGAAGAGGGTGCTACCCTCCTGCTTAGTGTCACTGGGAACAGGACTCTAGAGTCAGATCTTTATTAAACTATAATTTATTGTACTTCGTGGATGCCACAAAGCCTCTGTCTTTAGACACTCTCTTTACTTGAAGCGTGCGTGTGTGTTTGTGTGTGTGTGTGTCTCAGGGTGGGGTCTCCTTATGTAGTTGAGCTTGCCTTGAACTCACTATTAGCTCAGACTGGTCTTGAACTCATGGCAATCCTCCTGCCTCAGCCTCCAGACTGCTGGGACTAGAGGGCATGAGTCACCACACCCAGCTCAGAAGCCTGTATTCTTAAAATGCATAAGAAAGGTGGTCATTAGGCCTGGTCACAGATGCCCTCCTTCCCAACACCAGGTAGGGGGTGGTTTCCTGCCCCCTGAGGCTAGAAGCGGCTTAGAATTCATTTTTGCTGGGTACAGGCCACCGGCAGAGCTGGTGTGGACTTGTTGGCAGGAGCTCAGACCTGTGCTGACTCTGTGGTCCCCCGGGGCTTGGTCATCAGTGACCTCAAATGCAGGCGGCACCCAGCCTCTGGCAAACGCGGAAGTAGCACACGCTGTGCACCCCAGATGAGCTCCAGCCTGGGAAGTCCCGGGGGAGTGCCCAGGCCCGCTGGTCACTCTGGTCTCCTTTCGAAGCCCCAAGCCTTGGAGCAGAGGTAGAAGAGGGGGCTCTTGTGCCAGCCCACCCATACCATTCGGCGGCGCTTGCCTTGGGTGACATCATAGCCGGGGACCTTGCGCTGTGCGCCAGGTACGGAGCCAGCCAGCCGAGGGTGACGCTGACGTGGGGGCTGCCCAAGAAGAGGGCAGGGGCCTGGGAGAGTCATGTCAGGGAGGCTGCCGAGCCGCTCCAGCGAGGGTGTCGGGAAGTTCACGTCGAGGGGAGTGTGAGGGGACCCACACATTGCGAGACGCAGGATCAGAAACGGATACGGAGCTGGTGGACGAGGAGGAGGAGGGCAGAGCCAGGACGCAAGGACAGGGGCAACCCGGGAAGGCTTTCCGGAGGCGAGGGCCGAAGAACCTGCAGTCAGAGACGCGGGAGGGGCGGCTGGGTCACTTCCCAGCTGTGTGGCTTTCGGCAGGTTATTTAAACCCTCGGAGCCTCAGGTTCCTCCCTGTAAAATGCTAGTCCTGGCGCAGGGCTTAGACGAGGGGCTGTCATCCTGCCCCATCAAAGCCGTTCCGGAAGCGGGCGAGGCGTGGGGAGGGGG